TGAGATCAAACCTTAAAATTTTATTATATTTTTGAAGATATAAAATTTCGAAAAACTCGTTTTTTTTTTAAGTTTCACACTGAAGGCCCCTTAAAAACTGAATCTAAAGGTGGCACAATAATAGAAGGAAGTATCGTTTCGATTGAAATGTGTCTCATACCTTAGTTACGTCATCGACGTGTAATAAATAATTAAACAAGCGAGCATCCGCAACGAGCACCGTTATCGACTCAAACGATTCTAAGTCAACGACTGACCATTCAAACACAGCATATCGATCACTGTCTCCGATTGCAATTTAAAAATCAGTTTAATTAGAACTTCGAATGAATGCCTCAGCTCTCCAGGCTACGAAAATTCTCGTCAGACCAGCTAAACAGGAAATACGTCCTTTAGAAGTTTTCTGTCTCTCCTATCAAACTCTTAAGAAGAATTTAAATCATAATTTGTAAAAAGAGATTTATCACAAGATTTGATATAAACACGTTTAGAATAGGAAACAAATAATCACGTGGAGTAGAGAGGTAATTTATTCAAAAGGCGGAGACTGTTTACGGTAGGAAATAGCCGGTCACTTGGCGAGTAGTTGGCAAAGCAAACAAGACGAAGAGGCCTCAGGGTTATCGTCGAAGAGAACGAAAGTTTCAATGAAACTAGTAACGTCGCGGCTCGACGAAGGAAAAAGTGACACTTCTGCTCCGCGGAACGCCGCTAATTGGATCCGTCGCCACTATAATTGACAAACACAAGCGTTCCGAGTTCGTTTTCAACCATTTTTATCCTCTCAGTAATAAGACTTTCTTCGTTAGAATTAGAATTCAATAGGAGCTAGCATACGTTCTACTAATTGCTCGACACGTGAAAACCAGTTCGTAATGCACGGATGATAAAAGAAACCAATTTAAAACACATTCTCATTGTATAATACAGTTTTCAAATAAAAATTCGATCGTTACTGAGTCGATTAAGGGTAATAGTTTTTAGTGAATGACCGGGGCCGTCGCGTTAACGAACGGGCAAATCGTTTGATCGACGGGAGCCAGTTTTTACGGCCGTGAAAGTGCACGGTAATTACACCGACGTTAATTGCATCGCGCGTAATAAAAAATCAACGGTTGCCGATAGAGTCGTCTCAATGGATGATCGCGTCGTGACTTGGCGGAATTCGCGGAACGATCGGCTATCGACTAGATATGTATTTTCTCTCGAGCTATATTCGTTCGGAACGGTTCGTTTCTCTGAGAAAAAATCGTGACATCACTCGCGGACGAGTATCTATTAATCTACTGATCCAATTTTCGAAGATCTCTTGGTAATTCCATGGTAAACGCGATGTCTCGTGGAAAATCAATAAGAAACTTACCTACATTCCACGCGAACTTGGTTTCCTTCGTAAACTCGTTATTAAATTCACAATTTGCGTCTGCAAGAAATGTGAACGCTACGTTCTTCAAGACATACATGCTTGATTTCTTTTATAAACTTATTATTATATTGAGAATTTGAACGTACAAGAAATATGAAGACTACATTCTTCGAACCGTATAATAAAGAATGCATGCGAGATGCGAGAGTCACGCATAATTTTAAGAAATCCGTTTGTTGAATACGTAAAATATTTTGTTTCTAATAAAAATCCGCAATCTATTAACATTAAATTTATCAAGGAGGGTCAAAATTACTTGTTCGTCGCCATTT